TCGAGTCAGGATTCGAGCAAGGACTCGAGCCAGGACTCGAGTCAGGACTCGAGCCAGGACTCGAGCCAGGACTCGAGTCAGGACTCGATAAAAAAATGCGAAAATACGGGGAATTGCCATTACCCAACGGTTTTGTTTCATAAGACACGTTACGCAGGCTAGCTAAATGTTCTACTACTAGCAAATTAAATACAACCTTTCAATAATTACGCTAATCACCTTGTGTAATTTACCAATGAGAGCGAGGTTCCAAGACCGAAAAGTATGTGTAATTATCGAAAGGGTGTATTTGGTAATACAGTTAGCCAGCGTGGCCGGCTCTTCTATAATACAGTTTGGTGATATCGGCGTCTATTACAGGAAAATAAGGCAGGGAGAATTATCCTACTCTTTGACGAATGCTAAGCGGCAATGAGCGGCAACAAGTATCTGTTTTGTAAAGAGCGAGAGACTGCTTGTGATGGGCAATAACAACTGTTTTAGTTCGATAAAATACTGGCCGGATATTTCCCTTTTTTGGATATCGATATTTGTGCAATATATCAAAGACAAACAACAACAATGGTATTGACTATTGTTTCATTCACTGTCTTCCGACGCTAATAACCGTTACAGTTAGGGGCCGATTACATGGAGCATTTTCAACCCCGGGGTTGAACTCAGCCCTGTTTACCGGGTTGAAATTTCAGCCCTGTCTGTAATACAAAACTCTTTCAAAATCAAACGCGCGATTTAAAATACATGACAAAATTTTCAACCCAGGGCTGAGTTCAACCCCGGGGTTGAAATTTCAACCCTGCTTCAGCTAGCAGCCGGGTTGAAATTTCAACCCCGGGGTTGAACTCAGCCAGGGCTGAAATTATCATGTGTTATTCGAGCATGCGTGGTAGTGACTATTTATTACAAGAAAACAAAATAAAGGCTTTTTACTTCCGCGAATCGATGCCGAGAACGTATAGTATAACGTTTTAACCCCGGGCCCGGGGTTGAAATCGTCCATGTAATCGCAAAAAATTTCAACCCGGTTAACAGGGCTGAGTTCAACCCCGGGGTTGAAAATGCTCCATGTAATCGGTCCCTTAATAGCCAAAGTCAGATGAGATTGACAGCTCTGTATGTACAAATATACCAAATATCAATTTTCGATCTTTAGTTTCTTTTATCGAATCTGGCGGGAAAAGGCGGGAAATTGATTTGGTAAACAAGTTCTCTCACTTCCCATTTGCCAAACATTCCTTAGGTTATCGATAAACAATTCCTCAGATTCAGTTAAATTTCCTTAAACATTTCGCATTGTTGGTGAACGACTTTAGTCTAAATTTAAGGAAAGTTCCTTAAAAGTGAGAACGCTGTTGGTAAATTTTCATCCATCAAAATCACTTGACGTCATTTTTGGCTCGAGTCCTGAATCGAGTCCTGGCTCGAGTCCTAGCTAGAGTCCTGGCTCGAGTCCTGGCTCGAATCCTGACTCGATATTTAGGTACCCTCATACAAAATCATTTGTTGAGAAAACAACGCGTATTTTTACCGGATTTTGAACTCTGGCGACGTCTTCTCGTTGATCACAATCGCCGCCTCTCTGCTTCGCGGTTACAGCTAGTTGTCTGATTCTTTTCAATTAGATTAACTTCTACTACTAATATTAAATCGCTCGCGAACTGAATCAACTTTCTATAATAAGTCTAATAAATTACTATTGCATGGAGTTTATGATATACGTTTATTTATTTTATTTACTACTCTTGCATGGAGTTTATGATATACTTAAAGTAAAATCACACAAAAAAGTCGGGTTCACCGAACTCGTTAAGACGATATGACAATCACAATATACCACCTTTACCCCAATATAGCGCCATCTTGACGCTCATTACGAGTAACAGCAAACTCACAACAGCCCAATATTTATTGACGTTTTTAGCGCGGATTTTGCTTTTATTAGTAAACCTATCTTGTAATTATTTTTGAAAAAATATTGTGTTTTGAGCAAAATGAAACTACTAACGTGTACAATTCTGATCCACAAATGTCTTTTCCACATTTCTTTACATATCTTTCTTTGAGAACATGCACTGATAAAGCATTTTTTTGTCAAGATCCAGAAATGATTTTTCTTTTAATTTCGGATATGAAATGTAAAATGCATTAAACTTAAAGAAATAAATTATCAGTTAAAAACGGGGGTCACCGATCTTTTTAGGGAATTGTGGCATTAAAACGTGAAATACTTTAAGTAAATAAATATACTACAGACACAGGGAACCCTAGTTACACTTTTGTATGCCTTTTTTGAAAACATTGATTTTAACGTAATTCTTTGCACGAATGTATAACCAAAGATGTTTTGAAGTAACATAAAGGCCCCGTTTACACTATACCGGATTACTTTTCATACCGGATTAATTTTTACTCCGAAGTAAAAAATCAAGGGTGTTTACACTATGCCGCTTCGCTCTGTTGCCGGCTCATGTCTTTCACTGTCGTCATGGAAACAAGTAGCCAATATACCAAAATTTATTAAAAACAAGAAGTAACACCCGTTTTCTTTGTAAAGTATAACTTTGTTTAAAAAGCTTGACCACCAGACGTTGCTTCGTTTCGCTCTAATCCAAAATTTCAGAGTATTTCTTTAAATTTTGCTCTTTCGAAAGCGAAAAGTCAATGTTATTATCGTTTTCTTTACTTGTATTCGGCAGAAATAGTAAATGGTTGCAAGGCGAAACAAACAACTGCTATAAAGTATTGTAAAAGCGAGCAAATAAAGGCGACAATGTTAAAACATACACGCCAAAACCGTTGTTTTGTACCGAAGCGTACCGGATTAGCCTGTTTACACTGCTCCGGCACATACCGGATTACTTTTCATATCACCTCCAAAGCGGAGTGAGCTGTAAACAGCAGCCGAATCCGGTATGAAAATCGCTACGCTCCGATGCAATCCGGTATAGTGTAAACGGGGCCAAAATTGTCATAAAATGATATTTTGTTTTAAACGGTACGTATAATGGATGAAATTATCAGTTATAAGATATGCGCAGTAAAAGTGCGCAATGCAAAACTGCGGAATTACCTTAAAGAAACTCTCTAAAGGACCATATGCATACCATATATACTCTATAGCATGGATTTAAAAATGGCCGATGCTGAAAATAACAACTCGAAAGTATAGGCGCCCTTCGAAAGTAAGCGCCCCCTTAAAAGTAAGCGCCCCTTGAGGCCACTAATTTCGAAAGTAAGCAGGGCGCTCACTTTCGAGACTTTACGGGATTTCAATAGAATTGGTTAACCAGGACGTTCAACTGACATTTTCACCAGTGTTTCTAGCATGGACCGGTGCACCCTATAGTATGGACTTTTACCTGGTGTACATTTTTTATGACAAGTGGTGGAGGCATTTGAAGTTTGATCAGACTATTTTTCAGGTATCATATACAGAATACCACAAATTGTATTCTTTTCTACCTATTCTGGCATGCAATATTTAAAATTTTAAAATATGGGCAAATAATTATGGGGGGAAACAGTGAAGTGTTGCCAATTTTACCAAATGAATCTATACTAATAAAAATATATAGATTACTAATTTATATCATACATTTTAACATGCATGAGCTTCTGGCTCAGATGAATAGGGAACCGCATCCTGTGCTCACAATATAGTAAATAAATGATTACACAAGGTACGACAATTAGTATCCAATATCTGGTGCCGGTAACACTCCGGTATCCATATTGTTCAGGTAGTTTGATCTTGCATTAAACCCGTGAAGTCTATACAGTACAGTGGTCTGTTCACAACCACCTACACTGGAACCCTAAATTCAAGTATTTCTTCTCATACTGTATGTCAGGGTCTGAATTTTTTTCTCCGTATCCAAGTGGGATACCAGGATTCAAAGTTTAGTATCCCCCCTGAGAATCCAGTATCCCACTTCCGGCACTGGTTGTCTGGTTACCATAAGTATTATACCCGGCCTGTCCCATCCAAATAAGTTTCCATAACTCTCACAGTGTTACAGATTACAATTATAACAACAGGAGACTCGACAGTCAACAACTAGACAATTCATTAATAAATACACAAAATGCACACAATGTGAGGAAATTAAGGCTTGGGTGGCAAACTCACAGTATTTGAAAGCCAATCAGGAGGCTGTCAGGGGTGCTTAACATTTTCCTAATGTTTGAAATTTTCTTAGTAATATCCAGTTGGGATATAAGTCATTCACAGTTTGGTATCCAAAACCAAATTTAGCATCGTATGGATATCGGGATACTGCAAATTTCAGACCCTGTATAATGTTTTCTGAATAACTTACCCCCAAAGCAGCTTCCAGACATCTAAAAGAAATACATATTATGCATGTCATCAAATTGCTGAAACCACTGAGTATTTTAAAACATATTGAAAAGTGTTTAATATTCAACATTTTGACTAGGTTTTAGTCATCATCAGATGATCAGTTGATCACTAAAATCATCATCATTATTTTCTGATGACTAAAATGGGTCGTTCCAGAAAACATACTCGGGCCCCCACGGAGGAAATTTCTGCCGTCCGGAGGGGGAGAGGAGAAAAAATTGTTTCTGATAATAGTAAAATGTATTAGGACATCCGAAGGGGGTATGGGGGTTAACTTCCTATTTCCTCTGTGGGGGTGGTATGGATGTTTCTGGAATGACCCAATCTAGTCAAAACGTCGAGACTTTTCGCAATGTTTACAGTTTTCAGAGTTACTATTGTATAGTATGTACTGTATATGGCATTCCCCTGCACTTTTTAATTAATATATAAATTATACATCTTAGTTTGAAGTAATATATCAAATTCGCAACTAAGAGGACTAAGTTAATATCAGATATCCAGGCCGCGCAATTAGTTCAGTCCGAGGCGAAGCTGAGGACTGTACTTTAGAATTGCAAGGACTGGATATCTGGTAAAGTCCAACTTGTCAGATTTGACATCTCATGCCAATATTAAAGCCACATGGCTTATTTGTAAGTGAGGTAATTAATTTTGACCCAGTCCTAGGACTGGAACAATATACTGTATTTTACGAGGTATCCAGTCTTATCATGTGAGCATTGAGATATTTCAATATATGTGGCTTTCACCCACAGGCGTATGGGGCAGGGGGGGGGCAGTTGCCCCCGAGTCAAAATGAAGTTTCATGGGCACATTATAAATGTAATTCGGGCAAAAATTGGGGGAAAGAACTTTAAAAAGAAGACATATGCAATACATGTATAGTATTTGAAAATACCAGAAATATGTAAAAGTAACGTGGAATTTCGACAAATAGGAAAAATGTTTCGTCGACCCCCCCTTTGGAAAGTTAACACAGAAAATGTTGTTCAGTAAGTCAGGCATAAATTTTCTGCCCACTTGATTTTTTCCCTCCCGTATGCCTATGCTTTCACCATGACACAGTTCAGAGCATATGGAGGCATTTACACAAAAGAATCTCATTTATAGAATCTCTATTTACTTGCCCACTGCATCAGTGTTGTGTTAAAGTCTCAGGGTTGCTTGGAAGCCACCTATTTAATATTAGAATGTTAGGGTTTGTAATCCAAGTGAGAATATATACATTTTAAGACCTAACCAGGAACAACTGCGAAATGCAGCACAAGGTCCTCTGGTAGGAATTGAACCTACGGCCCTGCGATTCCGGTGCAGCGCTCTAACCAACTGAGCTACAGAGGCCAGCTGTTGAGCTGTAACCGTAAGTTCATGTATATATAGGTAATCAGGTGTGCGGGTTGTGATAAGGTGGACTTCAATGATGGATTCTTGCACTTCACTTGGTGGAATTAATATTAGAATGTAAGGGTTTGTAATCCAAGTGAGAATATATACATTTTAAGACCTAACCAGGAACGACTGCTGCATTTTTCGTTCCTGGTTAGGTGTTAAAATGTATATATTCTCACTTGGATTACAAACCCTAACATTCTAATATTAATTCCACCAAGTAGAGTGCAAGAATTCATCATTGAAGTCCCCCCTATTTAATATCCCCTTGTCTTGTTTACGTTTGCCAGCAGGCAAAAGGTTTTAACAGCTCAAGGGCGATTTAAGGCCAATTTACACTACACAACTTTTCCCTAAAACTGTCGCATGCAACCTGCTTATAACTTGAGTTGTACTGTGTAAATAGTTATAACTGTCGTAGGTGAATCGGCCTTTAACATTAAGTCCCAAGAGAGCTTCGCTATTTTGAAGTGTATTGCCAAATCGCAATGGAGAACATAATCGTTTGTGTATCGGAATTTGCCAGTCTGCAAAATGTAAACAAAGGGGGTATTCTTACTCTATAAAACGGTTCTTTGTAAAACAGACAAAACTCACCTTAGCTCCTCTCGAGTAAACCTATCTGAGCGATCTGGGAATGTCAAATGCATCAGATATTTAATATTACAATGTGCCAAGCTGCGTTACAGTAATAAATGTTTAAACTTGATAAATATATATCAGATTTTGACTTGAGATGACTTTAAATGTATACATAATGAGATCGGTTGGTCCTTGACAACAAATTGTTGTTTTCTGTTTTGTCTTTTGAAATGGAATGTTTTAAAATTTCGTATTAAATTTCGCGCTTGAAACAATGCTTCCACTTCTGTTGCTGCAATATTCAACCACTGAGCTGAATATATTACTGAAGGTCGTGCTCGGCCTAAAAAAGTTTGCCGGCATGGCCGGTAATTTTCGCCATTTATAATTTTCGATTACCCATGAGCAGGGCATTCAGGACCGTGCCACCTGGGTGTGTGTGTGTGTAAAAGAAAAGTAAAAAAGGTGGCCCAACTTGCGGAGAGGGGCCCTGGAAAGCTGGAATTGCGGAACATGTTAAATATTAAAAGGAATTTCCTGGAAAATTGGTCTAAAAAGGTCTTCAAAACTAAATTTAAGCCCCCATTATGTAAACTTAGTGTTTAAAAAAAAATTGGGACCTCCCCCCCCCTTCCCCCGTCGCCAGTATTTTGCGGAAAAATTTTTTGGTTTCTGGAATATTTTTTTTGGGTGGCCCAAATGGGAGGGGGCCAAATTTTTTTTATTTCACCCCCCCCCCCCCCCCCAACCAAAAACCACTTGGCACGGCCCTGAGGGCATTTTTATACTGGGGGAGCCAGCCTCTGCCTCGCCGTATGCCAGCGTATGCCACCGTACACGAACGTGCTTGAAACGTATAAAACCTATGCCTAACATGCGCCCAGCGTATGTCAGCGTATACCGGCGTGTGAGTGATATTTTTCATACGCTGGCATACGCTAGTACGATACGCAATAGTGTGACAGGGCCTTAACTATGGCGTCATATCACCGCCAATATTCATGTATATCATCCTTTCGACATTGAAGTTAAATAGGACATTCAGCACCTACGTGCTTTCGACATTGAAGATAAATCTGACATTGAACATGCAGAACATTCAACATATTTTCGACATTGAAGTTAAATAGGACATTCAACACCTACGTGCTTTCGACATTGAACATAAATCCGGTATTGAACATGCAAAACATTCAACATGTTTTCGACATTGAAGTTAAATATGACTTTGAACACCCATGTGTTTTTGACATTGAAGTTAAACCGGACATTGAGCATGCCGCGAATTTAGCACCCATCACAACTTCAACGTTCAAAATATGTTGAAAAAAATTACCACATGTTGAATATTGGCGGAGTTGAACGATAGCGTCAAATCTCCGCCAATATTAATTAAGCTAACACAAGACAACCCCCCGGCCAAATTCATTCGTGTCCGGACCTCTAGAACATATCACATGACGCAAGCCGAGGGTCGGATTCGCCGCATCTTGTCGCTGTATTGAAGGCCGTATATTCACCATAATATTCGCGTATATTCGCTTGATTGTCTTAAATTAATTGACTTTTATAGCGCAGATTGAATTGCTAGAGACGCAAAAAACGCAAAATCTGGTAGAATGAACCCAGAGGCAATAATTTCCGCAAGAGATGCAGGCAGATGCTCTGTTTGAAGTTGCTGAGCGATTGAGACAACAGTCCACAGCTGTTATTAAATGTATAAAAATTGATATTATTTTATTTATTAGATTATATTTTAAAAATTCCTAATAATCGCATTATAAATAATCGATACATTTTAATATTTAGAGTGCACTGGCAAAAACAATGCGTGCGTCAACGTGAACTTTTGCTGCGACAGAAAGGCAGATGGTTTTCTTTATATATTAAATCGTTGTGGTGTAATGTGATAGTACTTGTCAATTTAGCATAATTTTGAGCACTTTTCTTTCCGGATCCGTGAGCCTTTTATAACTTTATTTGTCATTTACTTATACAACTGTTTACAAAAAATCCTACTGTTTACAAACTTTTGTGTTACATACTTAATTAATAGGTGTCTTCTTATTAATTCAATAACTGTTACACAATAGAGATTTTTGCTGTCAATTGCACTAGCTAGAATTAGCATTTTAGTAATAGTACATCCTTTTAATTTTTAAACTAGGAGAATAGTTTCGTGAAAAAAATTATTTATCTTATACTATAAACTTCCGATTATAAGTCCCCGAATATAAGCCCGACGTCTATGACCCCGTCACATTACTAACGTTCACACCATTCGATATACTAGCCCGTAATCATAATCAGAAGTTTATGGTATAAGATAAATAAATTTTCTCACGAAACTATTATGTGCTAACTTATTAAAACGCTAATTCTAGTGCAATTGACAGCAAAAATCTTTATTGTGTAACAGTTATTGAATTAGTAAGAAGACACCTATTAAGTGTGTAACACAAAAGTTTTGTAAACAGGTAGGATTTTTTTGAATTGTTGTATAAGTAAATGACAAATAAAATTATTAAAGGCTCACGGATCCGGAACTTAGAAAAGTGGGCAAAATTATGCTAAATTGACAAGTACTATCAAATTACACCACATGGCCTCACGATTTAATATATAAAGAAAACCATCTGCCTTTCTGCCGCAGCAAAAATTCAGTTTGACGCACGGAAAAAAAAACAGAGCGGAAAAAAAACAAATCTAATATCGTCTTTAATTTACGGAGATTAAAATATTCACAGATTGTCCCCACAAAAATAGTTTAGAAACGCGCACGTTTTATCCGATTCCCTCCAAACTTGGCCACAATGTTGAACAATAGTTCAGGAGCAAAACCGTGTTCGCGTTTTTTTTAGTGCCATACTTTTCAAGTTATAGGCATTAGGCATCTGTTCTGCCGCTCTCCCAAAATTTAGATGAGTCAAATTGTCTGCTTTATACCAAAGCAAATACAATACCTGTCAAAAAACGCGAACACGGTTAGTTGTTCTTTGATCATTTGAGATAGGAAATATTATGTTTCGGAAGCCTTTGAGGCCAAATCAGAAGCGTTCTAATCTCGTGGCGCAAAGGCCGTCATATTTTCAAAAGCAACCCGTAGCAAGTACAGTTTTTAAAGATGTAGAATTTTTGGCAAATCGTTAGCTACAGTAACGATTTATCGCTATGCATGCAAAATTTGAAAGGGAAAACTTGAAAATTGAGCGCGCGGTGAGTATTTTGGTGAAATGGGTTTCCATCATGTGGAGTAACCTTAACCCTGTATTCTGTAACTTCACTCTAAATACATTTGAGGACTTCACAATTCACATTTACGTATTTTAAACAAGAACAGAAATGTTGTTCTCTTTTATGCTACAAAAGCTAGTTGTTATTGGCATTGTGGTTGTTACAGTTTTTCAGTATACTGGCATCACCCGCAATTTAGGTGCTTTAATAGGGTTGGCATCTCTGCAAACTCATGGGCAAAATTTTGAAAGTATTTTATTCAATAAAAACTACATTGCATGGATTGTGTTCTTTTATGCTACAAAAGATAGTTGTTCTTGGCATTGTGGTTGTTACAGTTCTTCAGTGTATTGGCATCTGCACCCGCAATTTAGTTGCTTTAATAGGGTTCACATCTCTGCAAATTGGGCAAAATTTTGAAAGTATTTTATTCAATAAAAACTACATTGCATGGATTGTGTTCTTTTATGCTACAAAAGCTAGTTGTTATTGGCATTGTGGTTGTTAGAGTTTTTCAGTGTATTGGCGTCACCCGCAATTTAGGTGCTTTAATAGGGTTAACATCTCGGCAAACTGGGCAAAATTTTGAAAGTATTTTATTCAATATAAACTACATTGCATGGATTGTGCAATTCCAAGTTTGAAATTTCATATCTTGCGTTTTGAAAAGAATGTTTTGATTGTGAGGTGTTAAAGTCACCGAGCTCCAAACCGGGCAAAATTTTGAAAGTATTTTAATCAATAAAAACTACTGCATGCTACAATCTACATGTACTAATCGTTTAGAAAAATACTGTAAATATAATTATACAGATAAAATATGCAATACATTGGTTTAATATGTATTTCGCTGACTTTCAAGCTCAGTCTCATTTGGGTATGATATGATATATGCATGCCTGTTTATTTGAGAAACTATACTATACTAATGCGTATACTTGCTACATAAAACTATATATAATTTTATTTATCAAATTACAGTATAAATCCAAGTAATAATTGTTGCTTGTTTGTGTTCACCGTCACTTTTCTGCAGATTTTCTGCCATAAGTATAAAATAAAGCTTTAGAGTCGGTCACTTCTGTGTAATGTACTGGAACCATTGGAATTGTTACATATTTCTCAATTTCGATTCCTGCTTCGATCATTGCTCCTTTCACCATTTTCTCAGTTATGGGAAAGTTATAAAACTTTTCTTCGCCGACAAAATAAAACGTTCCCTCTAGCACGCCGTTCATAAAGAGTAATTTGCAAAGTTCTGCGACGACATTCTTGTAGTGCACCTCAGACGACACACATGTCTCCAGACACAAACTGGTGGACACGACATCAAATGGTTTGGCAACATCATCACTATCAAGTTGGACCATTGGAGATTGGTTCATCAGCGCGATTTAGTACACAGTCGAGCTTCCCTTTGTCTGCGGAGGTTTCATTTCTCTCATCTACGATGCTATATACGTCCTTGTTCGAGTTCAAGAACAGCGATTTCAATTAACGTCTGGGTCGCCAGCAGTCCACGACCTCACGGCTTGTCTATTCGCTTCTGTATACTCGGAAAACACAATATGATCCACTTTTGGGCAAGCAAAAACAAGGTTGGTTATAGAAGGTCCACCACCAAACTCGAGATATCGAACGTCTGTGTCTGTTGGTGCCTTCAGGCGCGGATCCAGCCTAAACCCTGACCGTGGCGCACTCCAAAACCGCGCATAATTAGGGGGTCCGGGGGCATTCCCCCCCGGAAAATTTTTGAAATTTGAACCCCGGAAATGCCATTTCCTGAGTTCTGAGCATCGAATTCTATCATATAATTCGTCATTAATTAATAATTACGCCATATTTTAGACAGCAAATAACGAAACGCACTAAATAAGTCAAATATTTAAACAACATACCATGTTCTTCAGCGAACGTTACAACATTAGAATGTTACAAAATCACTGTACTTACATAAAACCACAATTCTGTACCGCACGTACTGTTCCTGTGTATTTCAGGTTCTTCGTAGCAAAAAATATCCAATTAGGGCTGTACATCGAACTCAATCATCTTGGCGTTTCAGTTGCAACGTAGGTCTTTTACGGGGTGGGTTTTTTCCAGCTGCACATCGATACCAATTAGTGTCTTATTCTCGATCATTCGCTTAAACTGTGTAGCACGGAGAGTTGCCGTTGTGTGAACATTGGATTTTTCACCATGCTGACATAGTTTCTGGACAGCAGAAGCACTTGGGAAGAGCACTGGTCATCAATCGTTGGAGCTCGCTTGCATTATGCGTGCTTTCACTGCCAAAAAGAACACAAGTGACGCAAAAAACACCGTTTGCCACAGCAGAGTAAGCCAACTATGGAAATCGTGATAACCATGCCAACCGGAAACGTCTACCAATATTTTCGTGTGGGGAAAAGAAAAATCAGAACCAGGTTTCCAATGGCAATGATTGCACAGAATTTCGTACTTTTTTGAATCAGGAAGACTGGACACCAGATTTACGTAGTTTAGATATGATCTGGCCACGAATTGGTGGAAGTTCGTTGTGTTTTGGTGTTATATTTTTCTGAAGTAGGACCAGTGTTGGGAGTTACAGATGAAATTCCTTTACTAGTGCTGGGAAATTTGATTTCACTGTCTACAGTTTCTTGTGTGTTGCACGCTCGTTTCACAAGAAGCGCATCGATCTAAGCTAATTTTTTTGTTTTTGGACCAGTCGTCTGCTTTTTAGTAAATGTAGTCACTTGTGTAGAGGAAGGAGCAGAAAAAACTTTAGTAGAAACTTTAGGAGGAACTTTAGGATGAACTGGCATCGCAGACTTCAATAAGGCTGGAAGGTGTGCTTTAAAATAATGGTCTCGTGGCTGAAGTGCTTTAACTGGTTTGCACAAGGTAACAAAATGATTTTTGGTAGATAGAATTCTTCGATCAACCAAATAAGACGGTGGCATCGCAGCACAATGAATGAATGATATGGACATATTCAATTGCACTGCCATCAAGATAATCCCGTAGATATACTGTATTGTACAATTGAATCCAAGGAATCCCAATTTTCTTTCGCTATACAGTATCATTGGTGAGTGGATAGAATGACTGAATGGCACACTGAATTACTGTGGACAAGGCAAACATGCACACCATGGATGAGAATGTGTAATTTTTTGCAGCTTCCTTTGCTTCTTCTAAAACTGCTGCATTTCATTACAATTCTCGAAAAAAAGTAAGAGCTGCATCAGATACACACATGGCAAAGGCATTTTTAAGTGTAGTGAACGCTATTACGTTTTTATGCTGGGACTCAATGAAGGAGTGGTTAGCATAGTATTTGGCATTCTCAAACAGTTCAATACTGGTGAGGCATCTCAAGTGAGCAGACAAACTCTCATTCCCGATTAACACAATAGAACATGCATTAAAGAGACAATGAAGTACTGAAAGAATTTAAGCATTTAAGTATCAATGGTTATTTTATATTATTTTGTAAATATTCAATTGAAACTTTTAACCAGAATGTCAACTTCTTTACACCACACAGTAATTATGTGATTATACTTTGCAAACTTCGCTCAAATTACTGTATCTGGAGAACAAACGTTATGCCTTGCCATTTGAGAAATAGCAAGGAACCATTTGTTTTCCCAAATGTTTTCCCTCCTTTTGCTTGTATAATCATGGGTCACGTTCCATATAACTTTGTGCCGAAAGGATAATTACTAGAATTAGTCAGGGTAACCAATAGAACTAGAGTTGGTTTTAAGGTAAGGACTGGAGATTAAATTTTGGGATCATTAATATGGAAATTGAGCCATAATCATAATTATTTTAACAATGAGGCCCCCTACAATGTCTTTGTGTAATTTGAGTAACATCATGATGACATCAAATTCACAGCTGGCCTTGACTAACTCATGGGATTTTGTTGCAGTTTTAGATTCGGGATTAGGTTTTAATGTCAGGATTAGGATCAGGATGACATCATCCACAACAACATCAATATTCATGCACAACAAACACCTGTGAGGTAGTCACTCTCCAGGGGTCAGTTGTTAAAAATATTTGCTGTGTTGGTGTAATGTACTCTGGTGAATAAGATGCTTGTGTGATGTTATTAGAAAATTATGTTAGGGTTAGTAATCCAAGTGAGAATATATACATTTTAAGACCTAACCAGGAACGACTGCGCAAAATGCAGCACAAGGTCCTCTGGTAGGAAATGAACCTACGGCCCTGCGATTCCTACCAGAGGACCTTGTGCTGCATTTTTCGCAGTCGTTCCTGGTTAGGTCTTAAAATGTATATATTCTCACTTGGATTACTAACCCTAACATTCTAATATTAATTCCACCAAGTGAAGTGCAAGAATCCATATTGTGTGATGTTACTCTGACTGTATATCCACACCGGGCAGGCTTGAAAAATATGCCTGGCCACGGTGGGATTCAAACCTATGACCTTTGGCAAAGGCATTGGGAGAGCATTGGGCTAGTATTCTTTGGCAGAGCATTGGGCTAGTATTCCAAAGGTTGTAGGTTCGAATCCCACTGTGGCCAGGCATATTTTTCAAGCCTGCCCGGTGTGGATATACACTCAGAGTAACATCACACAAGCATCTTATTCACCTGAGTACATTACACCAACAGTCCAACACAGCAAATATCATGATTATTAGATTACACTGATATCGAAGGAACTAGACTCAGTTCCAAAGTATTGCATACTCGAACCGATCTGACTGCATAGCTCAGTTGGCAGAGCATTGGGCTAGTATTCCAAAGGTCGTAGGTTCCAATCCCACCATGGCCAGGCATATTTTTCAACCCTGCCTGGTGTGGATATATACACTCAGAGTAATATCACACGAGCAATTTAGAAATATTTCTTCAGAAATCTTGTCTGGATGAATGAAAGTTTTCATCAAAGCTTCGAAGTAAACAGGCATGCAGAAACACACAAACAAAAACACTAGGTTGAATTTTAACCAAGGATTAGCCTTAGCTTAGAACAACCGACCCCTGGTCAACCTACAAATATTAAGGCGCTATTTAAAGCTTGGTGAAACCAAATAGACGACTATATAGACCCAATACTGAAGTAAACATTTCATTTTACAGTCGACAATCAAATGTTGTAGCCATAAACTGTAACAAAACACTGATAACAGTTTTAAATAGAGTTTGTACTAATATTTCACGACTACATAGCGGATAAATGCAATCTATATTTTATTGACAACCGCCATGTGTTCGAGATCATATTACTATTTGACTAACAAAAATTTACATACATACAAATTTGCATGCACAAATTATTCCCTGACCCCAGCGTAAATGCAAATTTAATATAAGTCGATTAAAAATTCTTACCTAACAGGAACATTAGGCCCAGATCTTTCAGTTTGGCTCTTGGAGAACTGCAGTTTTGAAAATTCGCACGTTGGCAGCACGATGTCGCCAGTAGATTTTATACGGCGCAGCCTTTCTTCAGTGATAAATTCATCATATTGTTGCCTCAAGAGCGATAATTCCCCTGAAATATGTTCGTTTAGGTTTGCTTGTTGAAAGATTTCGACGAGCTCGCTAAGAACATCGACTTTTTTTAAAAGCTTCCATCCTGATAGCATCCATGTAGCTTGTGATGTATTATTCTTTATCCCGTCAAGTCGACAAGTATCGAACTTTATTGTTGATCATTTGTATTGCGCAATCAAAATAGAGCCACCGTGGCAGACCGTGGCGCACATGACCACAACTTGCCCTGTGATTGGTTTGCAACGCTGCACCGTGGCAGAAAGTTACTATATTTAGTAACAATTGCGCAATTTTTTGCACGCTGACCGTGGCATTTTGTGGCTGTGATCGCAGCTTCGAATTTACGACTGTTTTCCGAACATATTCGGCACAATTCGGCACGCTTTCGGCGGTTTTTATAGTTCAGTGTTTAACTGGATAATTATACTATTGAACAAGGAATATATTTCGGAAGTTTTTCCTGCTTTTAGCACACGTATTACTGTAATATGAGAACAATTACAAAAGATATTATTCAAATTGTTTGCTATAGACCTATATTTGCTCAATTTTGCTGTATTTCAAATAACTAATATATACTTCTTAAAAATGCGTAATGCAGTCTAATGCAGTATCCAACAAAGGTGAATCCCGGAAAATCCAGGGTGGGAAAAATCTGACCGTGGCTCGAGCCACTTTTGCCACGGTCTGGATCCGCGCCTGGCCTTAAAGCTAGACCAAAAATCGTAAAATACTTTTATAAACGGCGACACTGATCGATCGTCACTTTCGTCCCCTTTGAAGTTTTTATAAAACTTTTCGAGGAAGGTTTTTGGGTCAAAATAGCTATGGTAATCTTCTGGGTT